TATATATATATATATATATATATATATATATATTGTGATAGTAGTTTCTTTTTTCTTTTGATAAATGCAAATGCTTATTGTCAATTACCCTGTGACGTGTGCTGATGACCACTTGACCAGGTCACCCTTGTGAAAGAGATCTCGATCTCAACGGGCTCTACCTGGTAAAATAAAGGTGATTGATTGATTGATTGATTGATTGATATATATATATATATATATATATATATATATATATATATATATATATACAGACCCTTTCCAAGAAATTTGAATATCATGGAAAAGTTGTTGAACTTCCATAATCCCATTCAGTTAATCTTTAATAAATGATAGATTCAGAGCCCACAATTTAAACGATTTCAAGTATTCATTTGTTTATTTTTACATAATTTGGGATTCCAGCTCATGAAACCCACAAAAATAGGATTTCAAAAAAATTAGAATACTGTGGAAACATCAGCCCAAACGTTGCAGGACATGAATGTTTTTAACTGAGTGTGACACTAATCATCTACTAAACTCAAAGCACCTGCACAGGTTTCCCCAGGTGTCATTAAATTGCTTCAGTTTGGTTCAATATGTGGAAGACTGCAGACAGAACATCTGTCCAGAAGACCATCATTGATGCCCTCCATAGGATGGGTAAGACACAAGTTCATAGCTAAGGAGGCTGGCTGTTCATAGAGTGCTGTGTCCAAGCACATCAATGGAAAGTCTAGTGGAAGCACAAAATGTGGCAGGAGAAGATGCACCAGCAAAAGAGATGACCGTGGACTTCAGTGGATCATCAAACAGAAGATTCCAGATTCTGGCAGAGATGCAGAAAGAGTGGAATGAGGCGGGAGTCACAGCTTCAAAAACCACCACATTCAGATCCATCTGGGAGATGGACAACAACTGTCAGGTTCCTCGGTCCTCTTTTGCAATGAAAGTAAAGTGTCTTTCATTCAGAAATCAAGGTCCAAGGGTTTGGAGGAAGAAGGGTGAGGAACAGAACCCATACTGCTTCGTACCGCAACAGTCTACCAGAATGTTTTAGAAGACTTCATGATTCCTTCTGCTGAGGATCTGTATGGAGATGCAGATTTCATCTTCCAGCAGGACCTGGTCCCTGCCCATGCTGCCAGTAGCACCAAAACCTGGTTTGATGCCACAGAGCTTGACTGGCCAGCCAACTGGCCGGACCTAAACCCCACTGAGAATCTATGGAGTATTCTCAAGAGGAACATGAGGAGCACCAGACGCAACAACAAAGAAGATCTGACAGCATCAAGGAAATCTGGGCTTCCATAACTCCCAGTCAATGCCACAGGCTGATTGTCTCAATGCCACGTCACATCGAGGCAGAAATTAAGGCAAAGGGATCACAACCAAGTATTGAAGATTGACATATCATTTTGAAAATACCATATTTTGATTGATTTGATGTCATCCTAAATTTATTTATTTTTCTCCAAAAACTGAGAAGTAGTGTGGGCTGATTTCTTCACGGTATTCTAATTTTTTGAAATCCTGTTTTCGTGGGTTTCATGAGCTGGAAGCCCAAATTATGTAAAAATAAACAAATAAATACTTGAAATCATTTAAATTGTAGGCCCTGAATCTATCATCTATTAAAGATTAACTTTTTGAATGGAATTATGG